ACAAACGGGCCGTAATATAGAAAGAGAGACGTTCACCTGATGGGGTTTGATAATAATTATATTAGAATAATTGAACTTAACTGATTTCACATTGGAGACATTTACTGCTGCATTTACTGTATGTAACCCATCACTTTGGGGAGCAGTGGGCTGCCATTGTGCGGCGCCCGGGGAGCAATCGTGGGTTAAGGATCTTGCTCAGAGACTCAGAGTGGCAGTCTGTGGGAGTGGATTTCAAACTCACAATCTCAGGATTCCAAGCTCTATGCTCTAACCACTAGGCGGCCACTACCCTTGATGTATAGTTTTCAAATAAAAGTGGAATTTCTGGGTTAGGCTAAACTTTCTGATCCCTGTTGGTCACTTAATTTCTCCTCCACCGTGCAGTGCCTGCGCCATCTTTGTTTACAGTCGCCGAGGTCGGGTAGTGACATCCTATGGACAGCATATCCCATAATGCTTTGCGAGGAGAGCTCTCCGAGCTTTAGTGACCGTGTGAAACAGTAAAAACACACATATATACGCCTGAAAGTGCGCATGCGCAGAAAAAGAAAGCTAACGGGACGAGCACGTAGGACGGCTTTACGTAAACATATCACCACAATGATTGACAATTAGGAGGACCACTTATTCAGGTGATCCACCCAGAAATAAAAGATCGTCCTCTATATATCTATATAATTAAAGACGTAGACGTATTCCAGCTAACAAAATAAGCCTTCATTTTCGCTTTTAACATTTTATCATATTTTTTAAACCGAAGATTTGTTGCTTTATGATGTAATCTGGGATATTTGAGACATTAAGGGATCAGCTTTGTGAACATAATCTAAGCTGGAATAAATCTGTGAAATAGGTTTTCTAATAAGTGTTTTAAATTTGGCTTAAAAGACCTAATAAAACTTTTCTAACCTATAAAACTTACACCATGAATGATAAATCCATATGATTTAGAGCTTTATTTCATTCAAAAAGTCCCTTAGAAAAATATTAAACAATTAATAAAATCAAAGATTTATAGAAAACTTTTCATACGCTACATTTTTTTTGTGACAGATCAATCATATGCATAAGCAGCTCATATGTTCGATCTGATGTGATTCACCCAAGGTAGAGCATTATTAGGAAATACAATAAAACAATGCCTGGATTTTAATCTGAAAAGTGTGGCAGGCATTTGAATTTTGCCTCCCTGGGTCAATACTTCATAAATAAAATTTAAAATTTGAAAAACTAATTTATGAAGTTTGGTTAGTTTAAATGGAGAAAGAGCTTCCAGCCATATTTATAAGGAACATCGGGGAAGAGAAAAGTGTTTCCATGTCCTGTTTTGAACATTAACCATTTTTTTTTTCTCGCAGAAGCCAGAAATCACTAGCCTGGGTGCCATTCCGAACTTAGTCCCGCCCACAACGTTTGAGGTCGGGAAGTTCGGTCTGGCATTGTTCAATAGCAGCGCGAGTATGCTCGCCCAATATCTGGTCGGGCCAATCAAATTGTCAGGGCGGGCTTTATACGATGATGGACAGATGATCAACAGTAACGTAATCAACCATGGCACCAAAGCGCGCTTGGGTGACAACAATAATGGCTGCCGCTGGAGAGTTGAGGTGAGTAGATTCTGCTATTAGGTCTGTTCTAGAAGATATCGACAGCAAATTAATTTTAAAAGAGGAACAGAGAAACGCGATCAAGGCATTTGTTGAAAAAAAAGATGTTTTTGGCGTCGTTCCTACAGGATTCGGCAAAAGTTTAATTTATCAGCTGGCGCCCTTGGTCGCTTAACATACGTCACGCACTCCGTTGCTCTTATTGGTTGTAGATCTATCCAATTGAGTGCAGAGGCATTTTTTTTCGAAACACGCCCCCTAATCACAGCTCTATGGAGCAGTATCAGACTCATATTCTGACTAGAATTGAGTCGGACTACGTCAGGCTAAGAAATCACATAAAGCGAGCGTAAAAAATGCAAATTTGGGAGGGAGTTTCTTTTTTTTTATTTGATCGTTTCCCATCAACCTTTTCGGACACAACGCTTCAAAAGTGCATTAGGAAAAGCTGATGGAAACTTACCCAATGACCTGTGGAAATCTGCAGACAGGCTTTTCTATGACCTTTCAATCTACATTCAATAACAGTCTATAGGTGTTAATGTATTAGGAGCTGTTCTTCATCCGCCATGTTTTTTTATCCAGGTGGAAATCTACAGATAGTGCAAGGTGTGGAGAATGTGGGTCGAACAGAGGGGCGTGGAAGATCAGATGACGTAATTTGGCTGCTCAGTTCAGCATGGACCTCAAGGACGAGTCAAGCATAAACCAATGATAACAATTATCATGTGCTATAGAACTCTACAGCCTCTCTATAGTTCTCTTTTGGGCTGATTCCCTGTTAGTTTGCTGTTGTGCCATATGCTTTGTACTTCTGGACGATCTGTAAAATGACCAAACCTTGGTATTTCACTTTATCCTGATTCTTTAGAACCCTATCTATAACCTCTCTGTTGAGTTTAGCACATAAATCTTTATGCTACAATAGGACAAAAAGTTCCTATACGACACATAATCCTGTCTCAGTACAAAATGACAACCCTCTTCCTAAAACACACCTACAACAGAGTATAAATGCAAAATTACACCCTTCACCACATTATTACAACTAATAATCTGGTGCTTCTTTCACTGCAAAATACAACATTAACATATGAGGGTCTGTCTGTGCAGAACAAAAGAAGAGGAGGAGATCCGACAGTAAAAATCCAACCAACAACACGAAACGCTGTCATATAAATCTCACAGCCTCAAGGAACATAATTCCAGTTTAGCAGGGCATAGATCGTGGTTTAACCTGTCTGCAGGGGGAACATGTAAACCTCAATGTGTAAAATCTTCAAAAGGGTTCGGTCGGCAGCTGCAAGCCAACGAAAAAACAAGTCCGAGCGCCTTTGGCAAAATTAACCTGCGTGCAGCAGAGCTAGACAAGATCAAGCAGATACAGACATGACCTCCCATCAAAGGGAGCACATAATCACTTTGCTGGGCTGCTCAGGTGGGGATCCAAAAACAGAGTCCGAATGACAGCTTGGCAGGCTAGACGTCTATAATTATAACAGCTTTTTTAAAAACAATCCCACAGCATCACTATGTTCGATATTTCTAGAAGCGTAAGGTGTGTTCAGCTTAGTTTTTACAAGGAATCTGTTGCAGTGGGTGCTTATTTAGAAGTATTACGGTAACCCGGAGCTGAGGGTTCGGTTTACAGTTGTGTTTTCGGGAAATGTTGATTTGTCTTCCACCTAATATACCAGCAAAAAATCAAAATACACCCAACGTCAAATAAAATAGAAAGTTTTTTTTTAAGGATTCTAAATGCCTCGTCTCACATATCATGATTATAAAATGGAAATATTCAACAGCACAAAGATGTTGAAGAAGAACCCTCATTTCGGTTGTCAGAATTTCTGCACATGAAGTTTGCAGCTCAGTGGTTTGCATCCTGGCGGCCTGCAACAAATGCCACAACTTCCCACGTCACAAAACACACACAGCAGTCTGATACAGGAACCTGTCACATTTTCCACCTGAGCACGTGGGGGAACAAGCCAATAAGTAGTTGTGTGCATGTGGGTGTTTGTCCACTACCAGTTCTAAAGATTGCATAATTCACCTCAGCCAGCCTCAAAGCTGTCACAACACTTTCAGAATAACAGAAGTTCAGCTTCCTGTTCTATTTTTTGTCTTGCCAGCACTCATGGTTTCAAACAATGCATTTTTTGTTTATCTCCTCCGACACACAAATAACTCTTGTCCGTTTTCTACTGAAAAGACGACACGATAGACTTTGAAAGTGTATTATGGAAGGATGAATATGCATTATGAAGTGGTGATTCGAGAACAGGAAGCACGGGGCACAGTGTGTTTTGTCGTCCCATGTCATATGACCGCCATACAGAGAGAGAGCAGGCTGGACAAAGACCGTCTCATAAGTTTGAAGGACTGACTGTTATCAAGTGGTCCTTCTGAGAGACTAAACTGGAGCAAAGATGTAGAAAACAGGAAGAAACAAACACAAACTGAAGTCACTATCATTTAACCGTGTGGCCTTGGAAGGTGTTAGGAGAGCTGCTTTCAGAGTCCAAGGTAAACTGAAATACAGCTGGAAAACTTTCTAAATGGCTGCCATCTTGAAGTCTGGACTTGCATCAGATGCAATCAAAACCAGAACATGTTGGTGTCTTTTTTCCCATGGTCCAGCATAGCATGCCAGGACTTTTGATAACGTTATGGAGTTAAGGCCTTGGAGTCCTGCACAAATTCCTCTGCATATCAAAGCATGCAGTCAAATATGCAGCCAGCTTTTCCTACAGCTACAAGCTGCGATGTTAACCAGTCCAGTTACTGATATATATGCATACTTCGGTTTTAAAAGTTTAATGCAAACACCATAGAAACCTCTACTGCCTGCTTTTATCCTGTTTTTATCCTACAGTCACTTGCATTTACTCTGCTTTTATTTTGCTTTTATTCTATTTGAATTGCCTTTGTACAAAATAAACTCACCTTTATCACCAGTTCCTGCACACTACCAGCCAGCTGGCTGAAAGCAAAAACTATTGTATGTCTTCCTTTCCATTTTTCAATTGAAAACATTTCTGAGCCCACAAGAAAACACATTTTTAGATGGTGCTGATTTCAAAATCTGTTTGTTTTTTGTTTTTTTGTGTGTGTTTTTACCATATGTACTATATCCTTACACCCACACGCTGTAACTCAGGAAATTACATTAAACTGCCATAGATTGCACAAGGTTTGCTTTTATAAAAAAAAAAAAAAACTTTAAAATAATTTAATTCCATCTTCATAGCTTTTGTTTGTCTAACTTTAAGTCCTGTCTTGTGCTGTTTTGCTGTAATAAAGGCTTAATAGCATCTATTAAGATGTGTGGATGGAAATGCATTATAAGCCAACAGTGCATTAATAAATAAATAATAAAAGTCTCACCTTGCCAAACTTTTGGTGCTGCACATAGAGTTGTCCCTCCTTCACGTGCGCGTCCATGTTTCTATTAAAACTAAAGTCGCTCCTCCAGAGGAAAAACTAAAAGAAAAGCTTGAAGTTGAACCTGGATCACTTTTGCTGATAGGGTTTATTATCCCCTCCTGTTTCTCTGGTCCGCTCCTCAGCCGTTAAAAGGCGGTTTAGTAGGGAAGCGATGCCATGGTGGTGGGGGAGAGAAGAGGGGAGAGGGGAGGGGAGGGAGAGGCTCCAAACCAAACAGTCCAGTGGAAAGTTTAGCACTGACCGAGTTTGCTCTTCTTTCTGTCCCCTATCAGTCCTCCTGTGAGGATGCAGCGGCTCAGCAGGCAGAGCCAACGAAACACAGAAAACCACTTCCGCTTTCCACTTTCAAAATAAAAGCACAACACACTGACAGATATCTATAGAAGATAACTGAAGTTTATTGATCTGACATTGGAGAAACTAACCTCTGTATTTAACCTTGGAGAGCAGTGGGCTGCAGCAGTTTTGGGGTTAATGGTTTTTGCTCAGAGGGCAGGAGTGGCAGTCTGTGGGAGTGGGGCTCGAACCCAGAACCTCAAGATTCCAAGCTCTTTTATGAAGTCATGCAATCACACAGAAAGTTATGTGCAAATGTTGGTATTTAAGAAGTAAAAAATAAAAATAAATAGTATGATTACAAATTAACAATTTAGTGCAAAAGGCATGTTTTACAAATTAATTTCCTTAACATAGAGATTGCATGTAGGAAAAGGATAAACATCTGATCAACTGTTTATTTTTGTTTTGTTTTTCCTCTCACTATCTATCTATCAATCATATATCTATCTATCATCTATCTACCTATCATCTATCTATCTACATATCATCTATCTAGCTATCTATCTATCATCTATCTATCTATCTATCAATCATCTATCTACCTATCATATATCTATCTATCTACATATCATCTATCTATCTATCATCTATCTATCTATCTATCTATCTATCTATCTATCTATCTATCTATCATCTATCTATCTATCATCTATCTACCTATCATATATCTATCTA